TTTATTTTCTTTCTCGTCCAACAACTGCTGTAATCTCTCTTCTTGTTTATTTTCTTTCTCCTCCAACCACTGCTGTAGTCTCTCTTGTTTACTTTGCTGTTCGAGCTGCCATTGTTGTAGGTTTCTTGCAACTGCTGTTGTCTCCGAGAAGAGAAATTACAACAGTTGTTAGAGGAAAAAGAAAAGAAACAAGAAGAGAAAATAAACAAGAAGAACGAAGAACGATTAGAGGAAAAAGAAAAGAAACAAAAACAAGAAAAGAAACAAGAAGAACGAGAAGAGAAATTACAACAGTTGTGGAAACGAGAGGCGGAAAATCAAACTACAGCTTAGCAGATTTGATGGCAGCAATACAATCTTCTTCTCTTTTTTTTATTATCCCACTTCTGACACCAATTTGTTACGTCTCCCCTGTGTTGATTAACTTTCCGTAACTTCGTTCCGACGAAACTTTAGCGACACAAATCCTTACTTAATAAAACTGATTTATTCTTTCCGAATATAATTTTACGATACACTTAATTTCAACAATCGCGCTAAAACAAACGCTATAACAACGAACGTGCTCAATAATACTCTCTGACTGCAGATCAATTACTCACTGTCTACACACACACTGTTGTCCCGTCACGTTGTCACCCTCTTTTATATACCAAACTACCCTATATCTAGTAAATGTTAGAGCATTCGCCAAGGTACGGGATAGTTCTAGAAACGTGGCGTCACACTAGTCATGTGACTTTGCTGACGCAACAATATTTATATAGATTTGTTGACTTTCAAGCGTTCCCCTTCTCTTTTTCTGCTCAGTTTTTGTACAAGTCTTGGCTAGCACACTTATCATGTCATATAATGACTTGAACATTTACTAATGAAATACAGCTTTGAAAACAGCTATAATAAAGTTCAAATATGATTGGATATAGCAAGTTGGAAACTGGCTTCAAATATCTTATACGTTGAATATTTTTCATAGACTGTAGATGTGACGATTAACCCTCGTATATCTGTGAAATGATATAAAAATGAGGCTTTTGTCCTACATAAACAAATATTATCGTTTGGATTACACGACACATTTGCCCAAACTTTTGTAATTGTGTAAATAATACAATACGAACACACACGTTTATCATGTTACATCATGAACATGCTGCTATATCTGAAAACATATAAACAAGATGTAACACAATGTGAAAAAAAAACAGATTTTGGATTAAACGAAACGTGTGTCTAAACTTTATAATTTTGCTGAGTTTTGAGCTATGGAGGTTTTTTTTTTAATTGTGAAATGTTCCAACACATAACAACCGATAAACAAATTTACACATTCAGGAATTCCGCAATTGAAGATAATTTGCATGTATGAGAATCTAGCAAAATGGATAAATAAGTTTAAATATTAAGAATCTACCAAATATTCTGAAAAACCAAATGTTTGTTTTATCTAATGCTTCCAAATGGAACCAATGGTTGAATATGTAAAAATATGGCATTGTTTTGTTAGTTTGAAGTTAATCACAAAGATACACAATGGACTATCTGTGCTCTGCCCATTACGGGTATCGAAAACCGGTTTCTAGCGTTGAAAGTCCGCAGACATACCGATGTGCCAATGGGGGCAAAATATGATATAGGAATCAGACTGATGTTGTCCTTCCATATTGATATTACGTGTGCACTGTTATTACCACAGCCTATATACGTCAAACAGGTGAAACAAATTACATTTTCCGTCAGTCATCCTCGTGCATGTGAATTATTTCTATGGGGCATTTGTGTGTGTGTGTTTCGTATGACTGAAAATGAAAGAGCCAAAACCAAACAACTACTTTATGCCAGAAAATGAAAAACAAAAAGCGCCCTCTCAGACTTTTGTTTACAGTTAGTTTTCAGTTTATAAATCATGTAACTTTTTAACTCATATGTCACGATTATTTGTGAAATGTGTGAACGTTTTGTTTGGACTTATCACGAATTATATATTAATTAAATTATGAAAGTCAAATAGGCATAGTAATATTCAATATGTTCTATGACTATTCTTGTGTATAGATTCCAGAAAATAAGTAAGAACATTCAACATTTAAAAATTCACAATAACATAATGTATAAAGTTAAAAGTATTAATTGTATATTTTACTTTTAACTTTATACAATACATTTTATGCATATTTAATCGTTGAATATTCCTACTTATTTTATGACATTGTAATATTTTCAATAAAACAAAAATGGTTAGTTGGACCAAATTATTATTACCATCGTTGTGTGTTTGAAATATAAAACTTAGTGTTGATATGAGAAAATCGTAGTAAATCCAATAATAGACTAGATGATTTTGTCTAATGTAAGAAGTTAAAATCTTTTAATTAGTAAACAGTACAATGCGCAGTCACAGAATCTTCTATATCAGGATCAGGGCCGTCTTATCGCATGGGCACACTGGGCAGTTGCCCGGAGGGCCCGAGATTCAATTTGAAAAATAAAAATTAAGGTTCATATTATTAACTGGCAATGGCGTTAATGTGAAATCGAGGCCTCCTAACCTGGCCGACACAGCAGCAGTGCTGCACTCCAGCACTTTTTTGCGTTTTTATATACGTGTAATACAACACAAGCAGTCCTAATGCAAATATTCAAGAGTTGAATGAATTCTCAAACAGCTCAGAGTATGCAGCTGATATATAATAAACAAATAGCGCCATCTCAGCCAGTATTATTACTCCATGACCTAATTATTAGCAAAAATACCAACGTTTTTCAGCAACCCGAAATTTTCCCCCATTGCACGGCTCAAGATCAGCCAGAAGATACAGTAAATATCATTGAAATTTTAGTTCTTAATTGTTTGAGTACCATACTGTCCAGCCAAGTAAAAACATAATTTCTTATAATAATATTAATGATTATGAAGTTAAATCGAAAATAAAATAAAAAACCGATACGCTAGTCTGTTCAAAACATTCTAACGTTAGACTCGTTAGCCTAACATATGTTTGTACAGTAAATGGAGCTTAGGCTTACCCACGGTTTTGTTGATCAAAAATGTTCAAAATATGCTCAAATTACACCACATAACTACTAAATGAGTGAATAAATGTTTATGCCACATCATGTTAGGCCCGATGAGTGAATTTCATTCACCTTTTTCCAGCCAAAAAACAAATTTTCATGAAAAAAACACCACTCTCAAAAAATCACCTAATTTGCATACAAATATCATACAAATTAGCATGAAATTGATATTTATAGAAAGCTTAAGCTATAAGCTTTAAAATAAGGTACAGTTGTCATTATGACTTCTGTACATAAATATTTTTAAAAAATTAATTTGTAAATCATATAATATTTGGTATAGGCCCGGGTTAAAGCCCAGGACATAATGGGTCAATTTTTGGCAAGTTTTGGCTTTCAATTCATAACATTTGAGGATCTTCCTGGACCCATAACAGGGCTTTGCCCCTGGACTCCACCAGGGACCAATATGTTGTACACATGCGCGGTGTAGCCAAGGCAACATAAATGTTTCCTCACTTATATTTTTCCCCAAACCAGAATCTCTCAAAGAATTGGCGACCCCAAAAAAAATTGCTGGCTACACCCTTCCTTCAATACATGGTAAAGGTGAATATGCATAACCACATCTAAATGCAGTGCTATTACTAGGCATTTGTTTCTAAATTACTGTCCTCACATGCGTCGTTTACGTGTAACATTAGCCCCGTTCGTTGTAAAGTAACTGGGTCGATTGAACGAGCATGAAAATCAACCTTACTACCCAAAAACTTACATGAAAAAATAACCGGACACTAGAGGCGATAGAATGATTAATTATATAAA